AGAGAGAGAGAGAGAGAGAGAGAGAGAGAGAGAGAGAGAGAGAGAGAACGACTTCTTTATGGTTCAATTGACCACGGGAAAACTAAAGCAGGGATGATAAATCCCGCTGAGTATCTCTTGGCTCTCCATCATGCTGTCCCTAAGGAGGCTTACAACATCCCAGCACTGCACCCTCAGCAAGAGGAAAGCCCGGGGACTCCAAATGGGTGGGCTTAATGATATGTCTATCTCTTGATAACAAAGCTTTGGTCACATGGCTACTCCTGGGGTAGTCAGAAAGGTGAAGATAGAGAGTATATGGTCTCCACAGAAAAGTTAGGTGTCCCATATGGCAGTGTGATACCAGCCAACAGATTGTATGAATGACTCCTTACCCAAATTGGATCGAATTGGAATAAGAGTTCATGTTATAGCGCATTCACACACACACATACACAGAGAGAGAGAGACAGAGAGACAGAGACAGAGACATAGACAGAGAGACAGAGAGACAGAGACAGAGACAGAGAGACAGAGAGAGATTTTATACTGTTTATTGTCATTCCCGGCTGTTCATCTATGGCTGTCCCCATCTATGTGTCTGGATCCTCTTGGAAGGCCCAGAGGGCAGGGATAATGTCTGCCATCCTCCATCTGGGCACTACCCAGGCCTGTCTATTTAGACATTAATGAAGGTTGTTTGGGCTCTGTGGCTGCCCTCTCCTGTAAGCTTTCCCAGGAGTATTCCAGGTCACTGCAGCCTTAGAAGAGAGCGAGAGTGGAGAGGATCTGGGAATGTGAGGAGGAGGTGATAAGGGACCCTACCCACCACCTCTCCCATTCATCCTACATGTCTCCCCTCCCCAGCATGAAGAAAGTCCTTTAAAGCCGCTTGCCAATTGTAAGCATCACTATCTGACCTTAAAAGAAGACAACCTGCCCCTCCTGGTCCTTAAATGAGTGGCATGACTTTAGAAAGTTTGCAACCCCAGTTTCCCAGCTTATTTCTATCCTTGGTGTGATGGTTTGAATATGCTTGGCCCAGGGAGTGGTCCTATTAGGAGGTGTGACCTTGTTGGAGTAGGTGTGTCACTGTGGGTGTGGGCTTAAGACCCTCACTCTAGCTGCCTGGAAGTCAATCTTCTACTAGCAGCCTTCAGATGAAGATGTAGAACTCTCTGCTCCTCCTGTTCCATGCCTGTATGCTGCCATGTCCCCACCTTGATGATACTGGACTGAACCTCTGAACCAGTAAGACAGTCTTTTATAAGACTTACATTGGTCATGGTGTCTGTTCACGGCAGTAAGACCCTAACTAAGACACCTGGCTTCCTAGTGGTGTTTTGTGATGCCTTTATAGACAGCCTCCTTATTTTCTGCCCCCACCCTCTATCAAAGGCTAATTAAGCTGTTCCTAGTCTAGCCCCTCCTGTATCCATGAGTTCTCTCTCTGTATCACTGAGCATTCTGTACCATGCAGGAAGAACACTCTAAGCAACAGACACAGGCACTCCTGTAGGGCTTAGCACCAGCAGAGAAGGATGGATAAGAATGACCCTGTCAGCATGGGTTCCAGGACTGGAGCAAGGTGAGCTTCCTGGAGGATGTGACACTTCTGTGGTGTGGTGAGGGGCAGATGGGAGGGAGGAGGCAGTCAGGAAGAGGAGTGTGGCAAGTGGTGAGGCTGGAGAGTAGATTCTGGACAGCAGCTACCAGCAGCTGAGTTCTCTGATTTCACCCCAGCCCTCGTCTTCATTCATGCCTATGTTTGATGGTTACCAGCCCATTCATTCCTGTCTGGTGCCCTCAGTGAAAGGTACAAAACTGGATACTGCAGAGCCCCCACAGGGCTCTTCGGAGAAGATGGAGAGAAGGGGAACAACCATCAGCCCTTCCTCACAGATCTCAGAACATAAAGAAGGGTACCCATGAAAGATGGGGTGAGAGGGGAAGGATTGTTTTTGTTTAGTAGCAAATTTGTGTTCTTTATTCAAAGACTGAATTGGGTTGAGGCTGTGGGGCATACCGTCACCCCTGGTGCTTGGTGGCTTTGTACGACCAATGTTGGCCTTCTGAGGAGGCAGGGGGTCTCCAAGGAAGCCAGGTATTGGACAAGGTCCTTGAGAAAAGAAGAAGTAGAGAAAAGCTGGGAGGAAGTGTTATGTTTCTGAAGCCTCCTGGTTGCAGTAATGTAAAGCAGAATAGGATTAATGGAGATCAGATTGCCCAGGAACTGGTTCCTGGCAGGCCCCTGCCTCAGCCCTGTCATGCTGAACCACTCACAGCTAAGCCCAAGACAGGACACGCATGGGAAACAGCCACTCACTCTCTCCACCTGGGTCATCTATAGCCAGGATGTAGGAGAGACAAGACAGGCTGGGGGCTAGGGTTGGAGTTGATGTCTCAGGCCCCGGGGTCTTCAAGTGTTCTCTTAGCCCCTTAGAAATCTGTCCCATGAAGGGAACACTGGTCTGAGAAGGGTTAGAATGAGTATTCACTGACACCAACCCAAAAGGGATTCCCCACTTGATAGACACCTACCCTGTCCTCGGGGACAAACCTTGTCTTGGGAGAGCTCCTAGCTAGTGACCTATCCAGGTGACCAAACTAAGGTTCTCCTGGCTCCCACTTGGAGCACAATGAGGGGTGAGACAGAGGAGACAGTGTACTGCCCAGAGAGGCACAGCTGCGGCATGGCCCTGCTCCTGATGATGGTGATAACACTCAGTGTGTGTGTGTGTGTGTGTGTGTGTGTGTGTGCACATGCGCATGTGATGCAGGCATTCACATGTGCATATGGGTGTTCACATGTGTATGCATGTTTACATGTGTGCATATGCATGTGAAAGCCAGAAGTTGACATCAAATATCAGATGCCTTCCTCTGTTGCTCTCCATGTTATTTATTGAGCCAGGGTCTTTCACCAATTCCAGCTAGTCTAGTCTAGCCAGCCTGGCTGCGATCCCTTGTCTCTGACTCCTGAGGGCAGCTGCCACCTGCTCTGCTTTTGCCAGTTTGGGGAATATGAACCCCAGTCCTCATGATTGTAGGACCAAGTGATTTATCTACTGAGGCTTATCCCAAGGTCTCCTCTTCCTCTTCCTTCTCTTTTTCCTCCTCTTCCTCCTCCTCTTCCTTCTCCTCCTTCTTATTCCAGCCTCGTCTGACCTTAGATCCACAGCTAGTCTCTCAAAGGGCACCCAAAATCCATGGAGGAGCTAGAGGGGAAACAACTGGATACAAGTCAGGATAGACTGTCCTAAAGCAGTTTGGGCGGCCTGGCAAGGTGAGACCAGAAACACACCCCTCCGCTTCTCTGTCACTCTTCCTTCCTTGATGTCCCCCTTTCCCTTCCTCTCTCCCTCTGTCCTCCCTCCCTCCACTCTGCTCCCCTCCCCACATTTATCCTAGAGCTTGCTTTATCTAGCCCCCCCCCCATCAATCAGTCTCCCCAAGCACGAAGGCCTTGGACGGTACTCACAGTCTTGCTTTAAAATTTATTGCCCAGTAAACGAGGCGGCAGATGGAAGTCTCAGCCACCCCACCCCCACCCCCACGTCTCCTCATCCCAGCAAAAGCCAATCTCCATGAGAATGTCGTCCATCAAACACACCAATATGTGGTTATTTATAGGCTCCCCCCTTCCAAGAAAGCAGGCTGATTTTTCCCCCTCTCTCTCTTCTCTTGGCTCTCAGGCGCGGTGAGGGGGACGGTTTATCGGGGGTCGATATTTTAAAAAGCTGCACAATGAGGTTCCCGTCCCTTGGATGCTAGGGTAGGGGGGCGTACTGTCTTGATTGGAATGAATTAATTAGAAGCGAGGCACTTTGAGTCTCTGAGTTGGGTTATTTATAGTGTTCGGTTAATTTTGATAATTAACACTGGGGAGGAATAGCGAGTTCCGGGCACCGCGGTGCCCGCCAACAGAGACCCACTTCCCGCTTCACCGCTACTGTGCCAGGCGCTGCTCTATGTGGATCCTGGCAAAATAGGCTGCCGCCTGCTGAGGAGTCCCGGGGTTCTCTAAAAGTGGAACAAGGAAATGAGGGAAGGCCAAGGGCAGGAAGGCCACTGGGGACTCAGGTTGCCAGGAGTCCTTATCTCAGGTGACAGGTCCACCCTAATACCAGGCCAATGCAGGTGCAGGGCTTCACCCCAGAGCTAAATACAGTGTTCCCTTCCCATCCTCTAAAACAGAGACTGGAATGATGCAGCTGAGGGAGGGACTACCAGCTACCCCTGCTTAGGGAAGCAGAAGGCTTTGACTTGGGTCAGAAAGGGCCTTCCAAGGGGGAAAAGACTTCTCATCACCTGCAAGGGACAGGGATTAGAGTCTGTCCCCAGTGTGTCTGCCCGTTGCTCCTTCATTCTCGGGCTATCCCTAAACTGATTCCTCACATGTCTAGATGGGATTCCTGTCTCTGTACCCCTGATCCTTGTTAAAGATTCGAATGGCCTCCCTCTGCCAGGAAACCCATGCTCCCTCCTGGCAGAGCGTCCAGCTACTTCTTCTGACCTCTGCTGAGTTGGTGGCCTTGCTCTCTTGGTGGCCCCTAAGTTTGGCTGGTGGAATCTTCAAATGATATCAGACCAAGATGGATGTGAAAAGATGCCAAGCACCGGAGGCTCTGACCACACCCCCTCTGCGGAGTGTGGTCCCTTCCACTGTTTTCCTGCCTGGGAGCTGGATCATGATGAATAAATAGGAACACCATCATGGGTCACCAACACAGCAGCGACAAGGACAGGCTCCCCATCCCAAGAGGGGGCAGGTGAGACCACCCCGTACAGGGCCAGGAAATAGTGGGAGTTCTTTGTCCTGCATAGCGCAGAGGCGATCAGAACATAAGAGCAACTTCAAACGCTATCATTCTGTCTTCTACTCTCAGAGGGAAGCTCCACTCCAGGCCCTGCCAAGGACTGAAGCCAGACCGGAAACAGTATCTGTAACCAAGGGTCATAGGCTATGCTGTTCCTGAAGCCAGTGCCAGTTCCCTGCCCCCGCCTTCCCTCCTCCCCTGCAGATGGTCTCAGGTGTCCCCACAAATCCCTTCCCACATCTCCCTCTCCCTCTTCTCTTCAGGCTGCAGAGAATGAGAGAGAAGACAATGGTGGCGGTCTCATCCCCCGCTGGATTCTGCCAGCTTCCTGTCACCCTAGCCCATTAACAAAACCACTGTGGCTGCACACCAAACCCTTGTCCATAGTCTCACCCACCTGCTTAGCAGGGGCCCCACTCCCAGGCACCTGCCTTTCTTCACAGGCATCCTAAATCTCCTCCTGATTTGTCTCCAGGCACTGTGTGCTTTCAGCCGGCCCTAGTCGTCTGTACACTGGCGTCCTGGGCCACCCCTGTGCTTGTGGGGAGTTAGTTAATCATTCATTTTCATTACTGAATTTTCTGTCAGACTCCAGTGTCTCATCCCCTTTCCCTACACTGGCAACGGCTCGGTAGTGCATGTATATAAATACCTTCTGTTTCCCACACCAGCTTACACTAGTTCCAGAGTGTGTTATGCCAATGTCTCATGTCCAGTGGCCTCCAGGCTGGCCTCTCTGTGAAGGGCCAATGGACACATGACAGCTGTAGGCTAGTCCCCTGACCTTCATGGCACTGAAGGCCAACCTCAGACACCTGAGTGTTTTTCCTTCACTTTTCAGCCCAGCGGCCTTTGGGGAGCCGCTCCTTCACTCCTTGTCTCCAGCTTCCTCAGAACTGAGAGCACATTTTTAATTAAAGTGGAAAAAGAGCTGAAAATCTGTTCGCATTTAATCATCTTGACGACCTTTTTGCTTAAGAGTTTCCAGCTGAGTGGGGGAACTCGGGGATGGGCTGTGAAGGCATTTCTGAGCTCAGGCGGGCCTGGAGGGGAGGGCTAGGGATGAATAAACTTACCCAGCCAGGTGGCTGGGCTAAAAGTGTCAACTCAGCACTTCCTCATCTGGTGGCTCCTCCAAGTTCCCTTCCCCCACCTCTACCTTCCCCCTCCTCCCCTCCCCTCCCCCTAGGCACCCAGCAGACTGGACGAGAACCTGGCTTTAAAGCACAGGAGCAAAGACAGTGTGGGGTGGGGTCTATCCTCTTGTCACAAGTAGAAAAGCAGACCTAGAGGGGCTAGGATCCTCCTGGTCACACAGGGAACTGGGCAAGGCTTCCTCGAAGACTATGGAAACCTCCCTAGCCCTCCCTTTTCTCTAACCTTCCCACCAAAAGATTTGGAACCTGTTACCAGGCCTCAACTTCCCCAGTTAACTTCTGGGTTAACTTTTCACTTCCCTGAAATCTGTCTACCAGCTTTCAATGTGTAAATGTTCCCATCCCAGGTATACACTGCTGTTTAATTGGGGGAAACCTCTAAGATGAGAAGATCACCAAGGCCATGCTGTGGCCCTGCCCCCATAGAAGGGACAACAGCAGCAGAAGGAAGTTCCTCTCCACTGTCTGAACCACCTATATGCTCTTAAGGACCCAGAGACTGTGTCTCTCCCAAGAATAAGACATTGGAGAATCTGCCTTCTCCCCCACTTCTCAGGAAGGAGGTCAGTTGCTACATGCAGAGACAGGCTCTGTAGGAACATCTGGTGCCTCTGGTCTTCTGTCTCCCAAAGCCCCCCTCCCTTCATTCTGGCTTGGGATCTGTGCATTTGAACAGAGCCCATCTCCTGATGGATGGAGCTGAGAAGCAATCCTCCTGCACCAACACTTGCTTTTCTAGCCATCAGAGGGAGTCTCCTCTCTGTGAGGGACAGGACAGGCACAGGGAAAATGACTTTGTCCAGACTCTGCAACAGTGCCCTTTGCCCTCCCCTGCTGGAAACCAACTGAGACAATTGCACTTGACCCCACTCTCCAGACATGGGGGGGGGGGGGTGAGCAGAGCAGAGTGAAGATAAAACTTAGGCCTGGGACAGCTCCTCCTCCACTAATTCCCGTGGGAATTTCCCTGAAGCCAGAGGCCTGTCACAACTCTGGCTCTTATCTACAGCAGGAAGGACCCTGGGCCCAGTCCCCAGTGTTGAAATGTCATCTTTCCCCTCATCCGGTTTCTAGCTAGAAACCACCATCAATAGCAGCATCAAATACGAGACTAATTGACATCTTTCCGGCCCTCCCTGCCTTTCAGAGCACACCCACACTTTTTTCTTGACTACTCATTCTGTAAGGCTCTTTCTCATCTTATGTCTATGTTAGGAAGAAGGACACTGAGGCTCAGAGCAAGAGAGAGAGGGGCTGACCACTACCCATCGAGTCAACAGACAGGCACTTGGGCCTCGGACGCTTTGTTTTCTTTTCCTCCGTACCGACTTCATGATGTTCTAGCCGTGGAATAGGCTAACTTCATTTTTTTCTTTAAAACATTTTGCATGCTGTTGGACATAGGATAGGAAGAGAGCTGGACATGGTGGTACACGCCTGTAATCTCGGCCTGTGGAGTCAAAGTGAGAAAATCAGTTCAGGACCATCCTGGCTACACTGGATGCCCAAAGTCTAACCTCATTTCAAATGAACGAGCAAAACAAAAAGAATCAAGTCATGGCTGGAGATATAGTTCAGTTGGTAAAGTATTTACCCAGTGTGCCCAAAGCCCTGGGTTCATCCCCCAGTATCTCATAAACTGGTCATGATGCTGCAGATCTTAGCACTTGGGAAGTAGGCAGGAAGATCAGAAGCTGAAGGTCATCTTCAGTTACAGATAAAGTTCAGGACCAGCCCGAGATTCCTCAGACAGACAGACAAAGGACTAGAGAGATGGCTCAGTGGTTCAGAGCATTCGCTGGTTTTGCAGAGGGTTTGGGTCCAGTTTCTAGCACCTATGTGGCAGTTCATAACAGTCTTTAACTCCAGTTCCATGGAACCCCATACCCTCTTCTGGCCTATTTAGGTACCAGACATGGTACATATACATATATGCAGACAAACATTTACATATATAAAAATATTTCTAAAATAAAAATATATATGAAAACAGTGACTAAAAAATTCAGTTTTTAAAGTGAGGCAGTCCCAAGGCCCCTGGGAACTAAAAGAATGGATCACCGTGGAAAGTTGGAAGGAATTTCCTAGTGGAAGGCACTCAGAGAGGAGAGAGGCTGGGCCACTGCATGGCAGCCCCTGAAGTCATGGGGGAGTTGGCTGCTCTGAGCCCCCAACACCTGGCATCTGTCCCACGTGCCTGTACGGCAGGTCCCAGCACTCATCTCTCATCTTCGTTCACTGAATCACAAAGTCGCAGGAAAACATGTCTCTATGATCTGTGTCTGAACAAACCGCTCAAGTCTTGAGACTCCTGGACAGCCATATGGGTATGGCCTAGACTTACACTGGAAAAGGCCTCAACCCAGAAGCCTTTGCCCAATGCTACCAACCCTATAGAGGAGGAGCAAGCAGTGCTCCCAGGGCATACCCTGTGTTGGGCTCACGAGTGGAAAAGGCTGGTGAATGTGGGTTACATGGGGCTTCTACAGAGTGTAGGCAGGGAGGCAGCAGTAGCCGCCGTACTAGAGCAGGCAGTGAAAGGGGGGGGGCACTGCGAAAAGCAACCATTTTGATGCTTGAGTTAATCTAACTGGACTCCAAAGTTGCTAATTCTATTCACTCCCCTTACTACCGATTCAGCTCCAGAATGAAAACTCAAGAACCCCAAACCAATTTCTGGGCTCCAGCATCCATCCACCACCGTCTGTCCCCTTATGGAACAGGCTCCACCTTCATTTCTCAGAAGGTGTCAGCTTAGAGGCAATCAGGACATCCTGTTTCAAAGCCACCAGGCCAGCTCCTAAAGGGGAGGGGTGAGTTTCACTTACCTTGCCTGGCTGCCTGCCCGGGGCAGATGGGATACAGCTGGAAAGGCCTAGCACTTCCTTTTCCCTCTCCTCAGCTCTAACTCCTGCCACCCTGCCTCTGGTTAGTCATGGAACTGGAGAAACAGAAGTAACTCCCTTGGGACGAGAAAGGTGGGAGCTGACAGAGTTCATCTCTTCTCTCTGGCATGGTGTGCCTCTGCACAGCCCACTTAGCCTGTATTGTGCCTTGTCCACCAAGAGGGAGCAGCCAGGGATCTGGAGTCAGGACTGAGCCCCTCTCAGGTGGAGGTCCTTCCTCTCCAGCCCCATAGCAGCTGTCTAGAGGGAGAAGGCTGAGGAGCTAGGGTGGGGGTGGGGGCAAGTACCTCCGATCAGGGCGTTAGCAGGGAGAGGTGTGAATGCTTGGTGTTTTGTGCAGAGCGGAACCATTGGTAACGTGTGCCACTACTTGTTCCTGAGCCAAGTAACCTCTTCAAGTCCCAGACACCTCACCTACAAAGTTACAGCATCACCTTCCCAGGATGGCAATGGGAATGTGGGAAACAGCTGTGCGCATCTCCCTGCCTGTGGGAGACAGCCTGTAGAGAGGCTCTGGAAGTGGGCTTTCTCATTGTCTGCAAGGAAGGGGTTTGCAGCTTCAGGATGGTTCATAGTTGCAGCCAGGAAAAAATATGGGCACATGGATCTGTCAGTCTTGTAGGTGCTGAGTCCTTTGAAGGCCCTGGGAGAGGTCTGGGTGGGGTGACAAATGGAATGAGAAGAGAAGGAGAGGACATTAGGGGACATCTTCCTGGAGGATGAAGGTGGTGAGGTGAACAGGGAGGGGAGGACTTGCCCCTCCTATATGGACTCCTGATAATGCATCTTTCCAACTCCTATCCCTCCCAGCCCCATGCTGAACTACATCTATATTATCCATACTTTTGCCTTGAAGTTGCTGTCATCTAGGGGTCTTCGGGTGTGTGTGTGTGTGGTATGTGTGGTGGGTGTGGTATGTGTAGTGTGGTGTGTGTGTATGTGGTGTGGTATGTGTGTGTATGGTGTATGTGTGTGGAGAGAGAGAGAGAGAGAGTAAAATCCGGTCAGGAAAACTGTTGCCACCTTGGTGCTGCCAAGCTGATCACCTTTTCAGTCTCCCCCCTCATCCCATCTCTCAGTGGTCAGGGAAAAGAGGGCTGAGAAGAAGGTGTCTCGTGGAGTCTGAGATAGGACCACTTACAGTTGAAGACTACTTGGTTTGGGGCCAGGAGTCCCAGTCACAAAGGAGTTTGGCTCGGGCAGCCAGTGGCTCTAAGGGATGAGTAGAGGTGGGTCAGATGGCCGTGGTCATGATTGCATTCGGGTTTTTATGATGGTGGCCATGGGGAGTATGGGTGGCCGTGGTCATATAGTACTGAACGTGGTAAATCGTCTGTGATGGATGATGGTGACGATGGTTTATCAGTTACTCTTCTAACTGCTGTGACAAAATACCTAATAAAGCAAAGTAAGGAGGAAGGTTTAGGGGACTGGAGAG